CTGGTATTCTGCCTTCTGTCACAAGAACAACACTTGACTTGGAGGACCAGGGTATCTGCTCAAGGTAGCAATTCCTGCCTGTCTACCTTCTAAATATTTAGAACTTTAGGAGAAACGGGAGCAAATGCCTTGGTTATTAGCTCATTGACAACCACAGCTCAGGTACCTCAACTTGGAGGGTGACCCAAAATGCTCACGCTAGATTCTCAGCTGGGGTTTCCCCAAAGCAGGTAGCCTGAGCTAGCAGTCCTAAAAATAGGAACTGAGCTCCCTTTTTTTTCTTTTCTGCTATAAATGCAGCCTCAGCCCATAGGTGGAAGTCTCCTGGGGTGAGGAGCCACACCAGCATGGACGATACCAGCTGCTGCTCCCAGCTGAGACAACAGTGTGTTTTCATTGCAAAATCCCCAGGGGAGGTGGCGCTTAACCGACCTGCTCTTGACAAGACATCCTGGGTAAGCGGAGGCTGCAGAGCTGGGCTTGCAAGCTTGTCATTCCCGCTGTGCTGCTTTACTCCAGTCTCTTGATAGAGGCACGCAGGCATTTTGCTTCAAAGCAAAACACACGTGCTCTTCCAGGCAAGATCCCAGTCCTACCAAGAGTGACACAACTGCAAACCTGGCTGACCTGAGCGATTTCCCTGCATGCAGCATATCCTCTCTCTTGGCTGTAAGAAGATTTAAAACGATTAATAATTTTTTTTTTTTTTTTTTTTAAACTATGAGCACATCGATTTCAGAAATAACCTCCTCCAAAAACATAAGACCACCCCCAGCTTCTAGATTTTGGTCTTTTAATACCTCACCTGTTCTGTTGCTAGACTGATGACACTGAAAGCTTTATGTCCCTAAACCTTATTTTTTTTTCTGATGCGAAGATGATGATCGTCAAATCATTTTGGTTCAACAGTGACAGGGAAGGAGCCTTATACTTCATCCAGATGCCCTTGGAAATACGGCTGAGATTCCTAAAGGTCACCCATGCTTCCTCCCCTCCCTGAATGAACGCAAGACGGCTTCTCATCTGCAAAGGCTAGAGAATCTGCAGAGATTTCAAAATGCCTAATTTCACACTGCCTAGAGGAGTGCTTAACTCCATACCCATTAGCAGTGGATGAGTGCCTAAATTGCTTAGCGGTCAGGCAGAGAAGCTTTTCTATTGGGAGTCTATGAGTTAAACCTTTGACTTTGAAATGAAAGCAGTTTAACTTCATTTGAGGGCTTAGAGTGAACTTTCCAAAAGTTTGGCTATCTGCCCAGGACAGCAGCGAAATATCTCGCTAAGGGGATTGAAAGAGTAAGAGCTGCGTTGACTTCAATCGTCCATAAAGCACGCCGGATTGCACAGCTCGCTCTAACCCAAACCCTTCCCCTTAGGAAATCTTGAGTTTATAAAATGAATGCAACAAAAACACAAGTTTGCTTTCAGCAATCTTTGGCATCCTTAAAGGGGATGACACTAGTGGGACACTCAGTGACAGTCTTATTTACATGTTCTGCAGAAATGGACCCAAAGCTTGGTTCAAGGCTTTGTTTACCTGGATTCATGTTAACGACTCCTCTGCTCAGGGTAGAATTGCAAGGGGGTCCTTGATTGCAGGGTGGGCACACCGACACGCTGCCCGATGCCATGGCCATACCTGTGCATCTCCCCACAGCACCTTACCTTTGCTGCCCTCAAAGGAACATCACGTCACCAGCCAACTTGTATCTAGAAAAACATGGATATGAGAGACCTGGTCTAAGGGTTGCTCCAAGCCTCAAGTTTCTTTTAGAAACACTCAGCCTTGGTACAAGAACTCATTTGCAAGCGATGCTTTTCACCACGCAACGTCTCTTCTCAGCTTTTTGAATGTAATTGCATTATTCTGGTGACTGACGGCCTGCATGGACGGATGAAATTGGAGGTTAATCTGCATTACCCATCTCTCTTGATTTCTCCTTCATTTCCATCTCTTTTTAAAGTGGAGTTTCATTAAAACAGCAACACTTTTCTATTAAATAAGTAACAAGAGAAGAATGACTGCCTCTATCTCATCAGCAGTAAATCTTTTTAAAATCACTCAAGAGGCAAGACTCAAGTCATATATTTAATAAGAACCACTTTGATATCACTTTTTAAAGCAATTAACATATTATTAGAGATAAGCACGAGATGCAACATTTAGATCCAGATTCCTAAGACAGATTTCTAAGGTTTAGGAGGGGACAGCTCTCAAGTCTTGGCCTCAGCAATCATCTCTGCATGCCAGTCTAATGTGAGAACAGAACCTCAGTTACATGGACACAGTAGTTAAAATCCTGGCTTTTAATCCTGATTTTATTAATGCTGCTTCTCTTCAGTCATTTTAAAGCCTTCTGTGGATGTCAGTGAGAAGGGGCAAGCCAGCTCACAAGAGTTTCTGCACCACCTGAAGATGCTGGAACAAACTGTTCATTTCCATCATTCCTTCCAGTTGGGTGCTCAGACATTTGCTTTCTTTACGGGTTGTGCAGTAAACACATCTCTGAACCTTACAAATTTTTAAAGACTTAGAAGAGCCATCAGCAGCTCATCTTGTGTGTCCTGTCACCTGCAGGCAAGTTTACAAATGCAGGTACATCACCTCCGACAGGCAACATCAATCCCACGGAGCAAGTGAAGATTTTCCCTGGCAGGGCAGTCCTCCCCACTTCCGCCAGAGGCTACGGTCACCATAGCAGGGCCATGTGGCCCTTCCTAACTGACTTCAGGTGACAATCCAGCGTGTTAAATAGAGCAAATCCTTCTCTCCTGGTGGCTGAAGCACGTACCGTGGGTTACAGGAGTGGAGGTGCAGCCGCACGTTCATCTCTGCTGACTGTGATGGGAGGAACCTCCGGCAGATGAACCGGCTGGAGGGCCGGGAGCAGCACCACCTTACACCACCACAATGAAACGTGACAAAACCTGTCTGCTGGCGCCCTGAGCACTCGCAGGACTAGTGCTAACCTGGAAGCCTGAATTATATCCCAGGAAACATCCAAGGGCTTCTTGGTTTTTTATCCCAAAACATTCAGGCTTTTCTCAGCACAATGTGCTACCTGATCTCAGTGATGACTGACAGCAAATTATTTGCCAAATTACAGTGAGTTTTACTATTTGAACCATTAATTGTGAAGTTGCAAATCGCCCACACCTTCCTAGAATCCACTTCATCAGAAAATACTTTTCTTAAAAGGCAGCAACATATGCACAGGGAAATACATCATGCATCTAAAGACATTGTGGTCATGTTTTTTTAAGTGCTAAAATTTATTACACAAGAGATGATGCAACAGCGAGTAAGAGAGCAAAATTCCACATTGACTCCCTACTTTGTAATCCAGGACAACTAAGAAGTTTTACTTCATTAAGGAAGGCAAGGAAAGAAATAAAACCAGAAACCACCCCGATGGATGAAGAAGTCCTGTCAAGCAGAAGTGAACGATCGGTCCTGTGTGATGCTCAGATGCTCATTGCTGTA